AGTGTTTTGTATCAACTGAATTATGATTTAAATACTTATTGGATTTTGTTTATTTATTCATTTCATTGTGAGTCTGTGGAGAACTTAAGAAAGAAAAAATTGGGAAGACATCCTGTCATGTAGCATGTCTCTGTTAGAATCAGAGCACTGTGCTGCACAGCAGATGATTATCTATACTATCCTTAAAGTTTAAAGTTTAAACTATAGTTTTAAACTCAACCCAATTTCTAAGCATAAAGTGGCTTATGATGTACAGATCCATGATTTTAATGGCCTTCACCAAAGGAATATTCATGTCTTTACAGACAAACTGTGTGATGCAGAGACCTATGCAAGTCTCCATGGTGTCCAGCAGCCAAACCAAAATCCGTATAATTTCATACAAAGAAGACACAGGCCAGGTGCAGAGACACCACAGATCAGGAATGTCAGGTCTAATTTCTGTAACTTGTTTTAATGTTCACATTAGAGAAGTTCTGTGTCCTATGTTATTATATTTCATTATTGCTCCCTTGGAATGTACTGTGCACACTCAATGTACTGTGATCCAGTATGTGTTTTAAGATTGACATTTCTTTGTTTCACTGGTAGCAATAACAAAACAAATGTCAATATTTTATGGTGATAGTATTGACTTGTATTATGTATGAGTATAACATTACCTCATCTATGACACAGGAGAGTCAGTCAGCATATTTTGTAGTGCTTTTTCTCTTATATGTTATATTGCAAAAAAACATGGTTGAATTCAGTTAATACAACAGCTCATACGAACAAATTCAACTGTTTCCCATTCCTGGCCTCTGAACAATATGCCTCCCATTTATTTGTAATTTTATATTCAAGTACGGTTACAAAGTCCCCCAGAATCTGCTGTTACCTTTGTTTAGTGTGGATACAACTGCTGTTCTTATGTAGGCCCTGATCCTCATTTTGGAATAGCAAAAGAATTGGTCCTGTCCCTCAGTCTTAAGATTTTCTTTAACTATGAAAAGTCCAATATACAATATTTTCACCTAAAGACATCCAAATTGACCAAAGGAAGTAAATAAGGAAACATGTATCCCAAGGACCCAGTGCAAATTTCAAATATTTTTTTTTACTTATGTTATGACTTCCTGATGGATATTTTATAATTTTGATGAAATCTCATCTTATTGCAGATGCCCCTGTCCTCTTCCCCTCTTCCATCCACACACTCCAAGACGTATAAGGGTAAAGTATCTTCTTTGTCAAGAGTTTAGGAAGAAAAATAGTTTAGTCTAGAGCTAAAGGTTTTCCCTAGCCCTCTAATTAATCTGACAATATATTTAGCACTGATAGAAATAAGGGCAGAAGGAAGGCATCATGGAACTACAAATAAAATTCTTTTCGTTGAAAATGGATGATATGTTTTTGACTTTATCAATAGCTTTTTGACTTCCTTATTTAATCCTGCATCACTAAAAAAATGAAAACAAAGCACAGGTCCATGACTGTGGCTGTAGCCTACAGCTGATTAAGGGAGGAGCATATTCCCCAACCAGATGTATTATCTACTAATTTGAAATGATTCTTTGTATGGCCATAATTATAAATGTGTTTTCATGATTTATGGTATTTTCTATTTGGGCAATAAATGTTTTATATGAGATATTAAATTAGCCTCTTTTTTATTGTCATGAAAAGAAACGTGATTTAGAAAGAGATATTTTTCTGATACAATGATATGCACCTTTGCCTGCTGATATGTGTAGTCTTCTTGTGGGGCAAACATATAGACAATGGACTGGTCCAAGGTACACTGCTAGTGATGGCTAGTATCTTGAGTGACCAAACAAAGGCTAACATAGGAGGGTATGTATCAATCAATCAGTCATATTATTTAAATAAAAGCTAAGTATAATGTAATCTTTTCAACCTGTCCTTGAATCATCCTGGTTGTTCTAACTGGAAACAAAGTGGATGAGACCAAGTGTAGTTTTGATGCAACAAATCTGTTATGGTCATACATTTTCAGCCTATCATTAGACAACATTAGTCATCAATGTTCTGAGTACATTGAAACTGTAATTATTCATGGAAAGTGTTTTTGGTTTTTTTGTTAATAGCATAATGATCACATAAGCCAATTAATACACATATCAATCCACTCAGATCATGGATGACATAGCTCTTATTTCCACATTTTTAAAATAGAGGTTTAAAAGCAGTACACATGACTGGCAAGGTTCAAAACAAAAATGAGATCTGTAGCATTGTTTATATTTCTAATCCTTGTCTAGAATGTTGTCTGACATGAACTACAAATGTGTGCATCCTCATAATATAGACAGCTTTAGAGGTAATTGAATGCAATGGACTGAATCAGTAAGAATTAGAGCACCAATGGTTAAGTCAAATTTTGTCTATGATATGGACACTTGCACAGAATATCTGCTGAGGCTGTTACAAATAATAGCAAAATATATATTTACCAGAAGGCAAATCAATGTTCCCTGTCACCCTTCTCACCAGTCAGGATGCTTTCCACCACTTCTGTGTTTTTTTCTGGACTTTAGCTATTCTAGTTACTTTCTAAAAATAATCCTGTGACTTTTGTAAAACCCACAGAAAGTTTTGAAATTAATACCCTTGAAAAGTTGGGCTCTGCTTTGCAGAACACAAGCTTCTTCTTCTTCTTCTTCTTCTTCTTCTTCTTCTTCTTCTTCTTCTTCTTCTTCTTCTTCTTCTTCTTCTTCTTCTTCTTCTTCTTCTTCTTCTTCTTCTTCTTCTTCTTCTTCTTCTTCTTCTTCTTCTTCTTCTTCTTCTTCTTCTTCTTCTTCTTCTTCTTCT